AGTGCATAACTGAACATAATTATTTGAAGGTTGACTATTTTTTGTATTAAAAACACTTTTCTTTTATTGGTCAGATGAAATACGCATTTTTTGAGATAGGGATTTTTGGTTTTTCTTTACTTTTTTGCCAAAATCATCAATATTAAAACAAGAAAAGGCTTGAACTACTTCAGTTGGTGTGCAATGAATCTAAAATATGTGAAAGTTTAATGTTTATCAGTACATTACAGAAAATAATGAACTTTATCACAATATGCAAAATTTTTGAGAAGGACCTGTATGCTGAGTGTTATTTATGACCAGTTAAATTTTGAAGAGAACTTTATGTATTTTGTAAATAAAGTTAAATAATTCAAAAGAATAAAAGTTACAAATACTAGAAGTCATCACATTTTGATATAATGGTTAAATTAGCATAAAGTACGCAGAAGTAATTTGACTGCAGAAAAACCAAAACAGGAAAACGATCGTGAATGCTGACTCAGCATTAAAGTAACTGAACTGCAACGAACTGTAAACTTCTTGAAGTGAAAAGTTTGAACCGGAGCAGTTTGCTAATCTGTGCGATCTCGTCTCGGTTCGGGTCTTTCAGACGGGCTCTCTGCAGGTCCTGTCCCAGCAGGTGCTGGTGGATTGCTCCTGGGGTTTTGGCAACAACGGCTGTGACGGAGGGGAGGAGTGGAGAGCGTACGAGTGGATCATGAAGCACGGGGGCATCGCCACGACAGAAACCTACGGAGCCTATATGGGAATGGTGAGATGATTAAATGTCTTATGGTTACAAAACTTGCAATTACAAATTTACAACTATGCAACTGACTCAGAAATCTAACAATAATTGATTGTTTACACCTCTATTCTATAATTGGTGAAAACGGAGTAGAATAAAAATATTTTCTCAGTTTGAACATTAACCCAGTTATTTTCTTTCAACAGAACGGATTCTGCCACGTGAACTCCTCCCAGCTCACTGCGAAGATCAAGAGCTACACTAACGTCACGTCGGGCGACGCCGAGGCCCTGAAGCTGGCTCTGTTCAAAAACGGGCCGGCAGCCGTCAGCATCGACGCTTCACACAAGTCGTTTGTTTTCTACAGCCACGGCGTCTACTACGAACCGGCCTGCGGTGAGTTTTACCTCCTGCTTGAATTATTGTTACCGTCTCTCCAGGAGCCAACACCTTCCTCTGGTCGTTTCAGGAAACACCACCGATGATTTGGACCACGCTGTGCTCGCGGTGGGATATGGCACCTTGAACGGGGAGCCATACTGGCTGGTGAAGAACTCCTGGTCCACCTACTGGGGCAACGACGGCTACATCCTCATGTCCATGAAGGACAACAACTGTGGCGTCACCACCGACGCCACGTACGTCACGCTGGCTTAGACCACGTGGAGCTGAGAGACACTTTATTTCATTTGATGATGTGAAGCTGCACGACTCGGACACAAAATTCACAAAATACATTCACTTTTTGTCAACAACTTTATTGCTGTTATGCCTTCTTTTTTTGGTAAAACAGTAACGCTTTAAAAAATGTTCAAATGGATCATTACAGTAAAAATATACAGTTTGCACTGACATTTATGATTAATCTACAATACCTGCCTTAATTTTCAAACTGAGGCCTCACGAGTCATTTTGACCCAAGGGCAGCAGTAGGGTTAAATATTCAGCGTTAGGCTTTCATTTCTTTTAAGAATTATTGTTTTGAAAGTCTTAAAATTGTTTTAATTTCTTGCACTTTTTAGTTGTTCGCAACCACTCGTTCATAAATCTAACACCGGTGTGTAGAGCCGATGTGTCAGTTGATTTATGTTTGAGGCTTTTTTAGTAAAAGAAAGCAATAAATGCCCACAATTGATGCTAAAATCAAAAACTTTGTTTCATGCTGATGGGTTCCATCTCATATTTAAAAACAAACAAACAAACAAACAAAAATCTCAGGTAAATTAGTCATATAATCGCTACATTAAGCATAACAAGGAAACTAATCTTTATCTCTGCTGCTGCTCTAGGGTCCAAATGAATCTTGAAGCCTCGTTTTGATCCAAGGGCAGCAGCAGAGTTTACAGTTTACTTTGTAAAACAATGCTTCACAAACAATTTCAGGCATGATACACTTATTCATTTTATAAAATGATGAAAAAAAATCTGACATTTGTGTCAAAAATTTTCTAATAAAAAATGTTTCAACTTCTTTTTATTATTAAGTTTTTTATATCGGGGCATAAAAATAAGTCTGTGATTTGGCAGATTAGTGTTTTTACCAGATACCTTCAGGTTTCAAACCTGGAGCATTTGCTCTGGTTTCCTGCAACACTGAAGAATGTCAGGTTCGTTTGTGGTTTAATAATAAATAATAATAAGAATCATCTTGAACCTGAACCAATTGAATGCTAGAATTTAAAGTCAGAGAAAACCTTCGCTCACTTGCTGGTTTGGCAAAGAGGTCCATTGGACCACTAAACCTGATCTCTGGTAGGATTTGTTCAACCATATCCCCTCAGGAAACCCTGATATGTTGAACCTGATTTATAAAACAGACTTCAGTTTCAGATTAGATCAATACAAATGGTGCTGAAAATTTTTTTTAATGAATAACAACTCCCACAGGAATCAAAGCAGTAACAGGCTGGTGATTCTCAGTCACTCAGGTCAAAAAGTAGTTTAAAAACAAAGGAGAGCGTGGAGTTCCAAGCTTATAATCTATAAGAAGCTCAGATATGTAACCTAGATTCAGATGCAGATTAATCTACATGCCCCTCACAAAGGAGTCATTGGGGTCATTCCACGCTTTATTAAACAAAATTAAATTCATGTTAGCAAGCTTTAACCCTTCATCAAGCTGCTGTCCATCAATGTGAGGAATGTTATAAAATCTATTTATCCTTAAAAAGCCCACAGTCACAACCAGGACAATGGTGTGGTGTAGGGATGATGATTTGGGCTAATTTTTCAATCACTGAGTCAACCATCGACAGCTCAACTAACAAAATGTCTGTAAAAGACAATAATCATGCTGTAATGGTTCAGACCTCTGCCTGATTGTAGCAGAATTGGCTGAAGCAACATTGTAAAGAAACTTTGGCAAAAAACTTTAGAACTGCCAGGATCAAACCAAAGAGGATTACTTCAAGTTATTGCTGGTAAAGAATTTATTAACTGGTGGATTTTTATCATTTCCTCACCCCCTGACTTAATTTCTTTTTTTACTATTTATTTAAAATAAGAGGTGTAATTCATTGTGTTGTTTTTTGTTTCAGGCTTGATTAACCTATAAAGACCAGGGCCCGTATTTATCAAACTTCTTAGAGTGGATTTTTAGACTTAAGTGCTGAAAATTTCTTAGATTTGCTCCTATTCTCAGACTTAAGTGTAAGTGCCAGTTATCAAAATTCTAATCACTCTTACTCTCAAGAAAAGTTAAGACTGCTCCAGAGGACTCTTAAGTGGTTAAGTGTTGCCACTAGGGGTCTGAGATGGACTGAAGACAGAGATTACAGCTGTCCTCCTCCCCACCTGAGTGTTAATCTCAGTTATAAGATGTGGAAAACAGGTTTAATCAGAAATATACAAAAGAAAAAAACCTACTCATAATATTAGACTAAAAGGTGGATATTTGTGTGTGGCTTTTTGGAGTTGTGTGTGTGTTTGTGTACGGGTTTTTCCTACAACGTGGGGTATTTTTTACAAAAAAAAGCAGCCAGGTGGGGACCGAAGTGAATCGTGGGGACCAATGTCAGGTCCCCACGGGTCCAAATGCATGTTACAGGTGTGGGGTTAGGTTTAGGACCAAGGTTTAGGGTCAGTTTTAGGGTCAGGTAAGTTTCTGTGAGGTTAATTTTAGAGTATATGGTCAGGGTTAGGATATAAAGTCTAAAAAACATGAATGGTCCCCACGGGGTCGAGAAACAAACGTTGTGTGTGTGTGTGTGTGTGTGTGTGTGTGTGTGTGTGTGTGTGTGTGTGTGTGTG